ACGCAGATAATAGACTAGAAGTTGGAAAAATGGTTCGACTTTGGTCGTTTCGAATTCGAGACATGTTGTCAGAAGACTCAAAGTTGTGTTTTGTTTTAGATTGTGATTAGATTATATGTTATGAATTCAATCTAACGATATTCATTATGTATGTTTATATATTTGATAATTGATAATTGATAACTGATACTGATAATTGATACTGAAACTATAGACTAAATTTTCTGAATACTAAAAACCTTAAACTGATAACTGAATATTGTCCTAATATTCTAAAGCTCATGCTGAAACTATAACAGTGTGCAACAATTTTTCATGCTTACTAAGAGCCCGTGTAAATGAACGTGTTTGTAATTTCTCTAAACCTTTCATGTGAGCTGAAAACAACATATTAAAACTCTTTTCTAAGAAATATGCAATAAACTTTTATGCCTTACTGAAAACAACACTTCTTTGAACATGTTGTAAATATCTGAAACATTTCATATAACTATAATGTAAATAATCTATAGTTGTTCTGATATTGAAATCTGAGTCTGATTATGAACATTCTAAAACTGAGAGTTAATTCTGGTGCTTATTCTGATACTATTACTAAAACCATTAGTAGATACCGATACTGAAAACTAGGGGTGTTCAAAAGAACCGGTTGGAACCAGAACCGGCGGGTACCCTGGGTTTGATTCCGGTTCCTATCCAGAACCAATCGTCAATGGGTAGGTTCCGGTTCCAAATTTTTGGAACCGTTACTATACGGTTCCGGTTCTGGTTCCTATAGTTAGGAACCGGAACCAGAACCAGGAACCAAGAACCGAGACTAATATAAAATAAAATTAAATATTAGGGGGGTTAATAAAAACTTTTGTAGAAAAAGTAATGTGAATACATTTATATTTATATTTCATAACATTTAAAGTAATTTGGTTTTATTTTTGAGAATCTACCTTTACAAAGTAATGGAGTTTGTCATTTTGAATTTATAATTTGTAATTGTATTTTTGTTAACAAGTGCCAAGTGGGGGGATATTTGTAAGTTTTTAAGGGTTTTTTTGCCATTTTAAAAACTTTTGGGGGGTCATGGTAGTTTTATAGGGTACCCAGAACCGGAACCGGAACCGTTGTTACAGGTTCTGGTTCTGGGTACCTAGGAACCGGAACCGTCGGTTCCGATTCTGGTTCCAAATTTCAAGGAACCGTGGTTTCGGTTCCGGTTTCGGTTCCTTCAAAAAGTGTAGGGTACCCGGAACCGAACACCCCTACTGAAAACTATAAGCTGATACTGAAAACTATAAATTGATATTTTATTCTGATACTGTAAACTAATATTGAAAGCTCTCTTAATATTCTGAGACTCATACTGAAACTATAGCTTATAACTGATACTGGAAACTCTCACTATAACTAGTACTCAGGAGAAATCTGTTTGGTGGGCGTCCCCAGGGGCGGATCCAACACTTGTTGAGGGTGGGCCATCCTAACCTCAATTTAAAAAAAAAAAATACTAATATGTACAATTTTGGGATTTTGGCCCTCTCAAGTAGAAATATTAATGGACAAAAATATTACTGCGTAATTAGTTTTTATTTTAGCCCACCCTAACATAAATTTTTGGATTCACTACTGGGCGTCCCACACACAGGTAGAGCAAGGGACGAACCTGTCATACCCGGCAAGTTTTATCATCGCACGAGCAAAGCCTCTGTATCTATCATACCTGGCGAGAAGCTTGTTGCTCAGGTAGAGCACTAAAATCGGTCCCATGCATGTGCAAAGCCATAATATGAAGTTTGAATTTTGTAACTCTGCGGGATGGGTACTTCGTCGGGTGGTTTGAAAACCATGACTATCTTATATATATACTCTAATAGTTCTTTAACTTAAAAAGTATCAGTTATCGACTTGTAAGGCATACATTTAAAACATGATATTAAAAATCAACACAGGGGTGGAAATGCAATTTTTACAACCTTTATAGAAAATTTGAAAGGAAAATTCTGCAATACATCACTAAATTCTTCTCCATCTACTTTCCAACAACCAACAAAACATTTCTACTCATGTAACAACAATGCCAAGCATTCAATAAAATGGCAAAATCCAAGAATTCGAAACTAATAACCTTAAAATGTGACAGGCAAACCTTGAGTCCACACATTTGAATGCAATCTAAACTTCATGCATGTAAATTCCATCACATTTTCAAGGAAAAACTCAATAATAAACCAAACTCTCAAATCCATTGCAATGATCATCTCAATTAAAACATGCAAACTTGAATTTGAAGGAAATTTTAGGTTTTGCCACTCACTAGTTAATGCTAAACTCAACTTGCTGTGATCTCTCAAGGATCAACTTCCTCTCCCCATATTGAACCAAAATAGCAAAATAGGCTTAGAATCCCAAAATTAAAAATATTAAGAGATGGATCAAGCATAATTTCAACATGCATGTGCTACCTACGGTTAGAAATTGTGTAATCTCTCCAATTCTCTTAATCGCCCTTTCTACTTCACTTCTTCCTCTCTCACCTTTTTCATTTCTTTCGCTCTTTTCCTTTCTCTCCTTTCTCTTCTTTCTTTCTTTCTTTTTCTTTTTCTTTCTCTTCTCTTCACGTCGATTTCAGTTCAATATAAGGAGTTGACTTTGAAAAATTAATTTTGCCCCCTGTAGTTTGACACTATCGTTATTACCCCTGACACATCAGCATTTCTCTGACCCCCAAATTTTCCAACATGTTCAACAAACCCCAAATCTATTAAATTATTTCAATTTGCACCCTTGACTTTACTTCAGAAACAGGCAGTTGCACCCGTTTCACCCGAGGGCCATATGCCCAACTTCTACGTCAATATTACCCTTTTTTTTATTTATTTATTCATTAAATTCGGTGCTATGAAATTAAACTTCGGGAACTTAATAGTTCGAATCAGTGACCGTTGATTAATTGAACGTACAAGAAACCATATGTCTACAACTAAAATTACTGTCCATTTAGGAAACAAGAAGTTTAAATCACTTGAAATTAGTCAGTTAATTAAGATTGATTTAGGAAACATAATTTGGACAGGACTAGGACTGTTCAATTCTTATTATAAATTCCTAACACTCTTGCCTTCAGTTCTTCACTGTTTTTTTCATTGCTCAACAAAGTTCGTCTTCTACTTGAGTTGTCTTCTCCGAAAGTCCCCGGTAAGTTCTTCATGCCTTTTTCTTGATTTGTTTCAAATTCTTTCTCTTCGTTCTTGTTTTCTGTTCAGTCGTAGGTATGTATATACTGCCATACTTTCACTTTAGTTTAGATACAAGATTCTCTGTTATTTAAAATAAAATATGCAGAAAATTTAAAGAAAATAAATTAGATAAGATATTTTTAAAAATTAAACTTAAACTATGAGAAAGAAAATCAAAATTATATTTAATTGTTTTTTTAAAGTCATATACATATATGTGTTTCTCTATAGCAAAATCATTCACCCAACTTTTAATTTTTTCGTGCATTCAAGCTTTGTTTATTTATTATTTTTTTTTTCAAAATTCTATCAAAACTTAAAAAAAATAAGCTNTTGGGCTTTACCCGATGTTTAGGGGCTTGGGCTTGGGCCTGGGCCTGAGCCTGACCGAGCCTGGGTATGTCTTCAGGCCCAGCCTGGCCTGACAATTTAGTATTAATTTTGCTAAATTATCATTATACTATATATTTAACTACAAGATTATCCTACATATATATACCCATTTTTCCCAAACCCTAATCTCATCCCATTTGATGAGTATTCAAAAATAAATTAATATTTAAAAACTATTTTTAGAACTAAAAATATAAAGAAAATTGAAATTTATTAATATTTAAAAATTCATATTATAAAAATGGGAGGGCTTGGGCTGGGCTGAGGTTACAAAAAGCTCGTCAGACTGGACTTGGGCTTTACCTATCATATCCGTGATAGGCTCGGCTCGAGCTTGGGCCTTTGTCATGAGGTCAGGCCTGGGCTTGGGCCAAAGGGTATCCGATCTTGGCCCGGCCCATTACTATCACTAGTTGTTGTGGCTGACAAACGACGACTGTTATGGTCAGGAAAAATTGGGGTTTTGTAAAGGGGGTCCAGGACGAGATGATGGTGGGGTTAGGGGTTCAACAATGTCGAAATTAGGCCAATTTAGTCTAAGAACGACAACCAGTTTGTTGCAGGAAACGATGAAATCTGATCAAATTTTTGGTTAAACAAGGCTGGGGAAGGTGCAATATAGGCTAGGGAGGTGTTCTTGCTGTGGCTGGTAAAGAAAATTGGCTAGGAGGTAGTTTGGATCTTTGCTTAATTTGAGTTGTGTGTTGTTGGATTCTCAAATTGTTTTAGTCTTTGGACATGGGGTGTTTTGATTTTGAGATAAAAAGTTTGGATTGGGTTTGATGTGTTTCGAGGAGGAGGATATGAAGTTTTAATTTGGTGGAGGTCTAGATGGTAGAATCATACCCTTCAAGGATGCGAGTCCAACCAAATTAGATCTAGAATTTACAATAACCATTTTACCTTTTAATCGTTATATTAAACAATTTAATATAAATTTAAGGAGAGAATCTTAAATTTACGAAATAGGGTGGGAACACGTCGTTTGCTCAAATAAATGTGAATCACTTGAGAATAATGTATGCCTAATTTATATTTCATTTAACGTATACGGTATTTAACTTATTATTATTTATGAGGCACTGGTTTGACTATGTTTATGTACGAAATCAAATAATTATGGATAGAGATGAATTACTTTAAACTCTTAATAGAACAAAATCATTGGATATTATTAATAAAAAATAAACTATAATGCAATTGTACGTGGAAAGTTTATGGGCTGCACTTGGTGGGCTGCCACCGCCCATAAAGAATTGTTTCATTATTCTACCACTTTGTAGTCACTTACATATTTATGGGCTTAAATAACAGGCTCTATTTCTAAATTTACCGAAGTTCAGTATGCAAACGAGCCAACTCCATCACCACCAAATAGATAACAACATAACATCACATTACTCCATCCATACTTCCATTAAAATATACATAATTGCAGACACAACCCACATGAAATGTTCAAATACTACAGGCAACCTTTTGATTTTCTTAGCGTCCAAACAAAAACACAGTCCTATTATTGATACCAGAACTAAAAAGCTCTAAACGATGAAACACAGAGAACCCAGTTATGGTCCGGGCCAGCTTGCTGGTGGGCCGGTGGGCCTCATGGGCACTTGGTTCTATTTCCATGGGTGGTCATATCGGTGTAGCAAGTCCCGCACACCTCCCTGTTCCCGGAGGTCCCAGGCGGGACGCATTTGCATCTCAAACAGCAGGTCCCGCATGCCCTGTTGCACAAGTTTGGCCGAGAGTGAACACTGCACCTCTGTTTGCATAATCCTCCACAATCTGAAACTCAAAACCGAAATTAATTAAAAGAAGCAAACGTGGTCTCTCATCTCTGGACAACAGGGCGCTTAAATATCTTTCTAACAAACAACAAATCAGTGATGTGTTTCGTCAATGGATGACAGCAAAACTAGTTTTGTGGGCTTTTTACTTTCACTGGTTAAATGGAATGCTAAAATAGTAATGAAAAATCTATAGAGAAAAAAGGAACAAATTTGAGAAACAGAAAGTGGAAACCCACCTATGTCTTGCATAAGCCTTCTGTTTACACCTCTCACAACAAGCTGGTATATAAGCATCAGCAACAAAAACGAATCACAAGTCAGATGTCACTAGCTTTAACCATAAAGTCATGAAACATGGAAATAATCAAACAAAATCTCTTTTTATACAAAAACTGAAATATTACCTGCCCAACGTGGATTACATCTTCTTCCTTTTCTTCTATCCTGAGATCAGACGAAACCTGCAAGCATGCATAACCAAGCGGTAAGATTACTAGATTAGAGTCTCCAACAAAAACAATATCTAAAATATTGAGCCAAGAAAACTACTCTATACCTCTGCAACTCCAAGGCTGAATAGCAAAATCCCCAACAAGAGAACCATACGTACTACGATCACCATGCTTGCTTTTGCTTACACTGTTATCTAATTTCAGTATGAAGTGCACCGAGATACTCTTGTCGCTTGGCATTGCATGCTATTTATAGCCGGGGGATTCGTTGTGATTTGACTGAACTGTTCACATTTTCAAACTTTTATTACAATAAAGGACCGATGTCGGTGTCACCTCGAACTCTGAATTAAACTGCCAAATGGCTAAAAAGAAAAGCTTCTTATTTGACAAATACATGCATGTATAATGTATTATTAGTAACTGAAATGATAGAATTAATTAAATATAACATAAGTTAAAACTGCTAAATATCATGCCAGTTGCCAAGGTGAAAGTAAATGATAATTATCTTCTTAAAATATCACATTGCTCATGATCCTTATCCAAAGAGCTCCAACCCTTCAGTGACTGAAAGAAAATATCAACCTAGGACCAGACTGGACAACTAATTAAATCAAAAGAAGCTACTTTAATTTATTGCAGCCAGCTGGGTTGTAATAATTGTAAGCACACCAATGGTGAAGAAAAAAGTCAAAGAGTCAGAGATGGGTCGATCATTGCTGACTGAGGAGGAGCTACCAACTTCGTTTAAAAGCAAAGTTTCAGATAACAATAGAGAAGTGGTTGGGCATGGCCTAGTCGAGAATGAAATTTATGACGTCCAAGTCATAAAGACGACAGAGGAAAAGGCGAGGACAAGTGAGCTGTCATGGCTACATTTGTAGTCGAAACCCACTTGTTTGGTGGACTGTACGATGTCAGCTATATTCTAATTGGATAAGGCATTATGATCAGACATCCAGCTGGAGTTGAGATGGAGTCCAGAGTTTCAAAGTTCACAATCTCAATCAGATTCTCACCTCTGGCTGGCTCCCATTGTAAAGAATCAAGGCTCCTCTTGGGGCGCTAACCCAGAGATGAAATCGAAACACAAGTGGTTTATGAAAACAAATAGACAGCAAAACTAGTGTAGAAAGTAGTCGCCAATCAGGACTCAGGAGCAAGACATACATCAAACCGTCTTGAGGTTAATACCTTCAGATGGAGTGTTGAGATTTGATTTCATTTCTAGATATGGAGCCCGAAATTTGATATAATGTGGGAAAGACTGTTAAAATTGCAAGTGTAATTGTAACCGATTCCTCCCCATTTATGATTTAAATACTTTTAAGATTGTGTGAGGTCAAAGTCTTTATTTTTTGGGTTTGATATTGTTTAAAAATCTCATCAATTATTATTTGAAGTACAGATTGTACAAAAGTTTCGTTCCTAATAATGGGCAAAGACTAGGAAATAAATAGAAGAAAAAACATTACGTACAATTCAATCTTACAACCTTTTTTTACAATCTTAATATAGTAGTTGAGTTAGTATTATTATATCAACTGATAACTTTGACTAAACATGAGCGATTATCCTGAATGATCATATTTTTTAAAGACGAATAACCTTTTATTTATAAAGAATAATTATTCCATTCTATTAATAAAGAATAACCAGTCTCTATGAATGAATAATTGTCCTTTCATAAAGAATAATCATTACTTATGAATGAACGACTGTTTTTTTCGTAAGAACAACTATTTTTTATGAAAAAAACTATTCGTCCCTAAAAAATTACTATTCATGGTTAATCAAAATTATTTAATACTTTGAATGTGGCAGGAGCTAACGTGACAATTATTAACTCAACCGTCACATTAGGATTGTAAGATAAAATTATAGGAGTAGTATTAATCAAATGGAATATATGTGGGTTTATAATTTTATTTGAGAAATTGTATTTGAACAAGGTTTAAATAACAACACTCTTTACTTGAATAAAATTATAGATGATCATTCATTATGATTCAAGAAAACAACACTCATAAATGACCTCGAAATAAATGTCATTATTATGTAAAATTTCTGTAACGTGCAAATATATCCTTTCTTTTTCTATTTTATGCTGTTAGTTTACATGCCTGTAGAGAGACTGTCTTTGAACAGAAAAAAATTTCTCAAGTTCCTTTTCTGTAGAAAGAATGTGAAGATATTGCACAGGTAAATCATATTGACCAGAGACCACAGAAACCAGCCATGCTACATGATCTTCTTCTACAACTAGTTGAGTCGACCCCACATTCTTCATCGGTGAAGCACTTGTGATCAGTACGAGTATCAGGAATGTGGCACGCACTCTCAACCCTTTGCTTGTCGTGTCTAGAATTAAAAGACGCCGGACAGACTTGCAAAGTCATTGCACTTGCTCTTCTTCTCTGCTTTTCGCTCTGCATAATTGAAGTTTCATCAACCTATGCGTCTTTTGATTTATAACTATGTAGGAAAATACAATGATGAACCTAGAAATGCCAATGCATAATGGAATTGCAGAACGAAGTGAAATATAAGTAAAATATCAATATTTCTTGATTACTTCCAAGTTCCAACCGTGAAGCCATGCGAGGAAAAAGTTTCCAAAAATATTTTATCAACTCTGGAAGCATCATCAGGCATAAGAGGGGTAAAAGGTATATACCTTGAAAAAAGTCCAGTTTGTTGGTATGTAGGCTTCTGGAAGCCTCTCATGCCAAGAACTCAAAACTGGAAGTGGGTGGCCTTCGGTTGTGAATATGTAATTTCGGTCAACCAAAAAAGAATCATCAAAGAGAAGGTATAGATACTTGCACCTGCGGAAATGAGATTCTTCAAACACAATTTACAACTTAAAATTGCAACTCTTTTTTCCTTGTAATTGAATAAAGAATCTCACGTTTCAGCAAGAAAGAAACTATGTTGATGATCTTCCAATTGCATTGTGGTCACATCTCTAATGCTTGCAAACCCTCCTTCCACTTTCGTGTATGAATTAAGAGAATTAACAATTGATTCCCCAACTTGTAAGTACCATGGATCTAAAATCAATGACAGCAATCAAACAAATATGTAAAAACCTGGATAAGGTAAAAACAGAAAGTAAAAAACTGCTGTCAAAAGGATCTATAATCATGATCATGTAGGAAGCTACATGTGATGCATATGCATAGTATAGACCTAGATGTATGCTTGGCATGAAGCTAAATTTTGATGGTCCTCTAGTTAAAGGTAACTTGCCTAGTGAATCATATGCAGCATGGATGTATGTATACTAGAATGAGCAATTTATAAATGTCTCCTCACCGTAATGACACCCCATGAACTGATACATTATTACTACAGAAGTTTTTGAACTTATAATATCAATAACAGTATCAAACCAAAACCCCAAACTACTTAGTGGCTCCTCTATATTTCACACAAGTTCATAAGCACAAATTTGACACTTTTAAAAGAAATGACCTTGAATAGAAAGGAAAAAAAGGTCAATCACAAATTAAGAATGATTAGCAGACCTTTGGTTGCGTGATAAAGGTAGAAAGTAGACTCAGCCAACTCAGGACGCAAAGGATAATACTTCTCAGTAGGATGTAATATTTGATGATCCAGCAGATACCTAAAAGATTGTTTCAGGTTAAATTAAAATACATACATATATATAACTGGAATCAAGAGTAAGCCACATAAAGCATAACAAGAAATGTGTTTGTATTCATACAACAGCAAAAGTATCACACCTTTCTGGTAGTACACCAAACTTCTTCCAAACGTAAACAAATTCACGGTGTGATGAATTTGCAGCAGCAATATCCCCAACAAGAACCTATTGTAAGAATTCAAATATAGAGTCATAAAATTCTTCTCTAACACTCAAATTTCACTCAGAAATATGTTATGAATTTCAGTTACTTGTAGACCAGGCCAAAATGCTTGAAGACTTGTAAGCTGCCAATAAGTTGCTTTTCCTGTCCTCATATCAGCTTCATGGTACCTAAATAACAGTCATGTGCATCAAATCAGTCATGAAGAATCCTCTGAAGTTATAACTGTAGTAAATTATCCTTTTTTTTTTTTTTAAATAAATTCATAATGTGTTATTATATTGGATTTTTCGACTAGGAAGTTGTATGCTTTTCAATTATAAAATTGTTGAGTAGTTTCACTATGTACCAATGTTGCATTGAGTAAAAACAACAAAAACTTAGTTGAAGAAAAAGTAAGGTATTATTATTTAACAGTACCTAGTTATTGTTTGACATTTTATAAACAGCACAGAATAAACCATTATTAACTCAGCCTCTCACTCTGGAGATGATCCCTAAAAATTTGTCTATGAAGAATTCAAAACACTTCTATGGTCTTCCCGTATCAATTTTGTTCAGATTAATAATTAGTGGTGAAAAACATGGATGACTGCTTGTCTAAGCTCAAAAAGATTCAGAATAAAATAAACTGACCATGTGAAAAACATGATAAAATATTCACCTAAACTAGAATATATGTGCTTAGTATAGTACCATGGGCCATATCTGAAATAATTCTGTACAGCAAGATAAGCAGAATGAAACATTTTCCAAAGGTCCTCCTTTCCAAAAAGAATGTGAGCCTTGAACAAATACTCATAGAATGAATCAACCCCTTAAGATGCATAACAGAATCCAGCATCAGAATGATCAAGATTACGCAACATAAATGAAGAGATCAACAAATCAAGCTCAACTACTTCAGCAACTATGAAAAACATGAGATAGAACTTTCCACTTAAAGAATACGGAAGCCCAGAGCACACATACCAGCCCCAATACCAGAAGAGTACTCAATCCATTGCCCAGTTCTCACATCCAATGTTGTTCCTAATAAATTTAAAGAACTGCGCATGCTCCATAATTTTCGGAGAGCTCGTAAAGCTGCTGATTCATATACGGGATCACCGGTCAATCTAGACAATGCTCCCATCTCAAGAATCAGAGAACCTAGATTCGGATGCAGAAATCAACAAATTTTAGGAAAAAAAGCAGGCTTGGATGAACCCATCTCACAGCGTGAATGATAAGTTCCTTACCACACCCTGAGGTGCTTGTTTCAGTAGTCTCATTCTCTGTCACTCCATACTGTCCACAGAATTTCGCATTGATGCGGAGTCATATATCCTTCTTACAAACAAAACCAGAACATATTCATACTTCCCAAAAATTATAAGGAATTTTTTATCAAATTTATTTTGTTAAATATGAGCAAGTAATTCCCGGACACATATTCATTGCAATATATAGAGAAAAAACATCAACATATAAATGCCACACTCTACTCAGCTTTTTCTGAGCTTCTTCTACTGTTACACTAATTCTTAGAGGTTGCTTGGCTATAGCTTATCACATCCTTGGCATTTTAATTATTGACCTGTAACCACCTAAAAATGTTTCCTATTACTCCTTGGCTATAGCGTATCTGTTCTTTGGGCATTTGCAAAATAACACAACATTTTTGTGTTTTAACCCAGAAGAGTATTTTATAAGATAGATTAACCACAATCAAGTAGCTTTTTATGTGACCCTCAGCATATATTGGTTCAACCCACAATATATTAGTGCAAAATATTATATGTTGCCAGTATTCCATGGTTCTATTCAAAATGGCTTCAATTTTTTTAACATCACTTTAAAAACTAATACTGTATATGACATTTGAACATCATACCCTCCTTGATATTAATCATGATTTAGGTAGTACCTTCAAATTAATCCATGCATATGGCAATCCAGTAGGTGTATCAAATGCAGGAAGAAAACGCCGTCCTAAGTCTTCAGCCAGAGTAAGCAGCTGATTCCGGTAAGATCCTTGCACCAACCTATTTGCAGAATCAGTTGCAAGCATATGGGCAGAAACAAGTCCTCCAAGAACTCGTATGTTGCACTATGTAACAGATATAAAAGAAAACAAACATCAGTAAAAACGTCAAAGGTAAGTTTATTGCAGTAATATCACTCCTTACATTCACAAAATACACAACTACCACCACAAGCCTCATTAAGTTTCAAACATAATCAGACTACTATACCAAAATAAACGGACAACTAAACAATTACATGATAACTGAAACAAGCTGACCAAATCTAAGCATCGAAATGCAAGATTTTAATCAAATACCTCAAAAAGATTTATCCTTGCATCAACATCAAACGTCAAATTTTCAGAAAGCCAAAGAACAGCCCTTTCAAATTCTGTGTTGTTCCCAAGAATAACAAGGCTGACCAAAAGAGAGAAATTGAATTAGAAAAAGGATTTAATAGAATTCTCAAATAGCATAAAAAAAGAATCAAAACAAAAAGAAAAAATGCATACACAATAAGAGGAAATAGAAATTCAGGGATTAGACATTTACAACCTTATTATCTATGGACTTGTTTAACAACAGATTATACCTGGACAAGGACTCAATAAGTGTAAGGGCAGAACCATTATAGTCTTGAGGCAAGTGTTCAAGCTGTAAATCAGAAAAAAAAAAATGTTACTTTCATTTTGACTGATTAATGCTGCTCATAACTAACATAAACTTACCCTCAGATTCCCAAGCTCACTTAAGGAGTCGGTGAAACTTTTGCTAAGAGGTTTCAACTCATCGTGCTGCAAAAGAGTAGAATAAAAATCAAAACCAGATGAAAATAAATAAATAAATAAATAATACATAATGTTCCAGCGTAATCAATGAACTTACTGGAAATGCATAGGCCAAGTAATTTTCATATGCATGATAGAACCTGCAAAATAGAAAAATAAAAAATCAAACAACTTATTTGGGTCAAATTCAAAACGCAATTAAGAAAAAAAAAATCTGATCAAAATAAAAGATACCCATCATTCCATGACTAACAAAATTGAACACCCATTAATCTAAAATGAAAAAAACAACTAAAAAAGATACGAATTTGAACATACATCTTGCGTACTTTCTCCCTCATGTGTCTTTTCTTAGCTGACCAATAGGAGTCATTTTGGGAGACAGAAACAGAGAAGAACATAGGAGAGATAAGGAGTAACACAAGAACCCATGTAAGGGATTTACAAGGTAACATGTTTGCGTTGGTTTTGTAAGAGAAAAGTGAGCAAGACAAGTACGGTAATAGATCTGGTGGACACGAGGGAAAGATAGTTACTAGTTAGTAACAAGGTGAAGTTGAATTGAATTTGCGGAGTACGAATTACGAATCCGAAGTTGCGGAGCTTATCGCTGGATTTGATGTCTGACACTGACCAATCACAGCTCGTAGAAGCCAAGTTATTACGTAGTTATTCATCCATTGACCAATAATAAGTGTTTTGAGTGGCATACGATAGAATTTATACAGTAATATGTAGATGTGTTGAAAGTTTAAATACAGATAAAATAAAATTATATATCTTAAATTTAACTTTTTTTTTTAATTACTTATTTCTTATGTGAATAACAAAAAAATAAATGTTTGGTAACTCTAGTTAAAAAGTTAATTATGAAATAAACCATTCTTGGTTTCTATGTATGTGTCTGTTGATGCTTGATTTTAACACCAACAACTCGCATGTATAAAGTGCTAATCGGACTTAGAAATTACACGTGATATAGAAATGTGCAACGGGAAAATAAGTAAGAGACAATTTTTAAAGTGGTTCGGATGCTCAAAAGCGAATCCTACGTCCACTATAGCTGTATTAATGGATGATTACAGTCAGGTCGCGTACAACGAGCTGAATTACAATCTAGAAAGAATTTAAATACAGAGAGAGAGAGAGAGTTTGTTTTAGAAAACTAAAAATAAACGAATCCCGTAAATGAGAGAGGAGCCATTTATTTATAGTCGAGGGATTCAAGGTAATAATCATGATTATGCAGTTGGGCAGGTGTGGTACAATTTCTAACTTGCTTCCTATTGGCTGACTGTACAAGAGAGATCCTTAAATCGCGTAGGGCTTGGGTAGGTGGACAATTCCTAGCCACTCACAAGCCGTGCTTTCACCTACCACACTGACGATAGCCTTAACTCTTCCATCCTTGCGCGACATGGCAGCATCTGGACGACACAAAGCCTTTCTGAATTTTGATTGGCCCTTGCTGGCGTGAGCTTACGTCAGCCCTGATTTTTTAGGCATAATAGAAGCCTCCTAGTTTTTAAGGTTAAGGATTGAACATTGAGAACTTCATGATTATGCCATGAACTGACTCATCTTGAGTGATGCCTGATTGAGTTGTAAGGAGGTCGTAGCATAGGTCTTTAACAATGGCACAAGCAACCTGAGGCGACCTTCTCCCATAGGTTCAACGACCTGGGTCGGACCTTACTCAGTGTTATACCAACATGCTTTGAACTTCATTTGTTGCTCGCGACCTGAAAATGCTTAGCACATTTTGCTGAAAACAAGGGATCACATCACCTCGAAGTCGATACATGGAGAAGAGTGTTTTACTCCAACGACCTCTTTAGATGTTATCCGTTTCTCTTGACAGCTAGTCTGGTCAATAAAATAAACTTTATTCTGACAGACGTGTCTCTTGCGCAATAAGTGTCAGCCATAAGCATTAAATGTAAGTCATGCTGAAACGATATTCTCTTTCAGAGCATTAAATGCGAATGAAGGCGCATTTAATGTGGAGGAGGTAACCGCCCTAATGCTTGGTTACTCCAATGGGTGGAAACGTCGATTGGCATCCACAAAGCGTGAAGGTTACTCTTCACGTGGATTAACGACACGTGGTCGTAATCAATGGCGAGAAACGTATCCCGCCTAAGTGTCACCCGCTAGGGAAACCAATCGTCGTCTTTCCCCCTATAAAATCCCAGGTTCACCTCAAGTTTTATCACATAACTCACATTTTCAGAGAGAAAAACAAAACTCTTGCACTCGCGAAATCAGTCCGTTCTTCTTCCAGTTGATGCGCACTCTTCGTTACGATAGGAAGTTCGTCCCAACAGTCAAGAGGTAAGGAAGATATCTCCTTCATTTTCCTCTATTATTTTTGTTAAAAACTTGACTTTACGATAATGGTGGGTATGAACTGCTTGGTAAGCTTGCACGATGCATGTTCCTGGACAGTGATAAAAAGAGAACTTTTTTCTTTATAAAAAGTGAGAACTTGGGCACAGATTCTTGGGAATTCATTCTCAAGGGTTTTTAGGGTTTTTCTAGGGGTTAAGGAAGGTAAATTAGGGTTTCTTTTGCTCTTCCATGTCATTATATAGGATATTATACGAAGACTGAGTCATCTCTGCGTGTCGCCCCTTTTTCAGACTTTAGGAGCAATGGACACTTCAACGACCAGAGCAGCTGAAAGGACGAGCTCGCAGGCGCTGGGCACCTCAGTAGGTCCCGTGCAAGAGACATTATCCATGGCCACTTGGGACGAGATACAGAGAGTGGTGGAACAGTTTGCGCTTACCTGGATGTCTACTAGCATAGGACATACACAGCTCAGAATCCCCTAGAGGAAATGGCCGCTATCTCTGAGGTAATCTTTAAGTGTGGGGCGTTGATACCTTTTCACCCCTTCATCTAATCGATCCTCGACCACTTCAAGGTCGCGCCATTACAATTGACGCCTAATGTGTATATGATAGCGGTTGCTATACATATCGCATGTGGCGAAAATGGTCTTAGCTAACTGATAGCACTGGAGCTCGTATGCGCTTACTATTTGAAGAAGAGCAAAGATAAAGACTCTTATTACCTCTCGAAGAGATCTTCGATCGAGGGAGGAATATTTGGTTACCCCAGTAATATCGGGGCTTATGAGACCAAATTTTTCTTTTTTGAATATGATGGTGTTTGCCAATTTAGGGAGCCGAGTAGGTTTTCCTCTCCTTCAATTTGTGAACTGTCCCTTTTTCTTTAGCTCATCTTCTATAGATGAAATTAATGAACTTTTTGTCTCTTTGCAGAAAATAAGACGACCAGGTTGACAGCTTTGACAGACTTTAACTGAATTGTGACATTCAGTCGTCTACCCGAGCAGAGTCTCGATACAAGACTGCTCGTAACTACTGCCAACTTGCAGAAGTACGGTTTTTTCAATTCGGAAGCATCTTTGGAACCCTTAGCCCATAAGTATCTTCACACTTAGGACTCCCACCTTTTTTTTTTTTGCAGAGGTGACCTTTTCGCTAACATATTTTCATGGCGCATAGTGACTATGCCACCCAGGGTTCCAAAGCCATCGACGAGGACTAAGGGGTTTAGAATTACTGGTAATACAGGCGAAGATGTTCAGCATTCCAAGCTCGCGGTACTTTGGAACTATTAAGCCTCTTGAGGTGATACGTTCTAAGTCATATTACTTTAGCGATGCGGTATAAACCCTCCTAGTTAGGTCCCAATACCCCCGCACTTGGTTCCTTTGTACCGAGGAGGACTTCTTTTAGAACCAGGTCGCCGACTTGAAAGTCTCTTCTCCTGACCTTAGAGTCGAAGAACCTTTTCGCCTGCTGCTGGTAGGATGCTATTCTTAACCAAGCTTTATCGTGGCGTTCTTCAACTAGGTCCAGACTTGCACATAAAAGTGCTTTATTGTCTGTCTCATTGAATAAGTCTCTCAGGAATGAACCAGTCCCTACTTCCACTGGAATCATAGCCTTGCAGCCATATGCTAGCGAGAAAGGCGTTTCCGAAGTAGAGGTTCTCGGAGTTGTTCTATATGCCCATAGAACTTCTGGGAGGTCATCAGCCCAATTGCCCTTGGCAGCGCCAAGCTTAGCTTTCAGTGTGTGCTTGATGGTCTTGTTGACAGTTTCAACCTGACCATTGGCTTGCGGTCTTGCGACTGAGGCGAACATTTTATGGATCCCCAGTTTATCGCAAACTGCTTCAATTCCTCATTGTCGAATTGCTTTCCATTATCAGAGATGAGTGTATTGGGAATCCTGTAGTAGCATACTATATTCTTGAAGACGAAGTCTTTGAGCTTCTTTGTGGTGATCACGACCAAAGGCTCGATCTCGACCCATTTGGTGAAGTAATCCACTGCGACCACAACATACTTGTTGCCTCATTTTCCAGTTAGCATGGTCCCGATGAGATCAATTCCCCATATAGAGAATGGCCAGGGGCTGGTCATTGTTGTTAGCTAGTGAGAAGGAGCTCATTGGATGTTCATAAACCATTGGTACTTGTCACATTTTTTCACAAAGTTGAAAGTGTCTTCCTGAAGTAGAAGCCAATAATATCCCTGGCGGACAATTTTATTGGCGAGGGATCGTGCGGCGGTGTGATTACCCTAGATCCCTTAATGTATCTCCCTCATAATATAGTCTGCTTCTTCGTCGGTTACACTTCGGAGGAGAGGGGCGCTAAACCTTCACTTGTACAGTTGATCTCTGACGAGCGTGTAACGAGCAGCTCTTGTGTGCAAGATTTTTGACTCAATCTTGTCACCAGGTAGAGTCCCATCTTGGAGATATCGAATGATTGGAGTCATCCAGGAGGTAGGTTCTATTGTAGCTATGGTCTGCTCAAGCGAGCTGATACTAGGAATCTCTATGTACCAAACTGGAATACTTTCTAGCACATCAGAGTCTAGTGATGAGGCTATCCTTGCCAAGGCGTCTGCGATAGAGTTATTGTCTCTCGGGATTTGCTTGATCATGAAGCGCTTGAAAGGCTTGAGTGTGGCCTTAGCTTTTTTCATATAGTTGATCATGTTTTCTTCCCTGGCTTGATATTCTCCCAAAATCTGATTAACAACCAGCTGGGAGTCGTTATAAATGCTGATCGCATTCGATCCCATTTCCCTTGCTAGTCGCAGACTAGTAAGCAACGCTTTATATTCGGCCTCATTGTTCGTAGCTTGGAACCCAAATTGAAGAATTCTATGAATGCGAGTTCCTTTAGGACTGAGGAGGAGAAGACCTACCTCGACTCTTTTTCTATTCGAGGAACCATCGACATAGAGGCTCAAAGTCAATAAGTTCTGAATGGTTTCCTAGATGACTTCGCTGGCTGACGTCGGGTTCTCAATTTGGTTGGTACGAGAATTTTGAAATAAAATCGGCAATAGTCTGCCTTTTGATTGCTGCCTTCAGTCTGTAATGTAGATCGAACTGACTCAATT